CCGTACAGAAACCGTGGAAAATCCTCTTTGGTCCTCGGCGATGAGCTCTGTTTTTTATTAGCTTTCTCTTTAGTTGTTCAGTGATTTTTGGTATATTCTAAATACGGTTTTTTTTTGCTTTTGAAAAAATAATGCACTTGTTGAATTACTACATCTGCATCGATATCAGGAAAAAATTATCGCAGTATATTATCTGAAAAATAATGTGGAAGAAACATATAGAAAATATTAAGCGATCAATATGGGATTACAGAAGGTAGTGAAATAAAGGGAAAGAAGTAAAAGGAAAATTTACATATGGAGATTATAAAAATTACAGCTTAAATATTTCATATGAATTTCGCTAAAAAAAAACGAAATATTAAATAATCTTGAAAATCTCTATTTGCAGTATGTTATGCACACATTGTATATACATACGCATGTACACTAAGGAGCAAAAGTGTAACAGTAGTTAAGAATGTTAAACATTTATTACCAATACATATTTTCCTTTGGTGCAATCATTGGATTTTAAATTTCTCTATGTATATGTACATATGTACATATATTGATTTTCAAGAATTCTATACCATTTTTACGAAATGTTTCTCGGTATAGAACAATCCTAGGGGGTGAGAGCATTAGAATTCCGACTTTAATTTTTTTTTTTTGTACCAGCCTAATGTACATACTTACATACATACAAATGTAAGCTCACTCCATTAATCTGCGTACATTTTCTGTTATGCAGTTTTATAGCCATTTCAATTTTTGTATAAAACTGTAGCTAAGTTTTTTGCTGATGGCTCCAGGCATTTTTCTCCATATTACCGATTTTTTTTATATGGAAGAAAATACGTAGAGCTGTCAGCAAAAAAAAAATATTAAAAATTAACGCGATTTTTAGCCACTTCAAACTTGTACATTACTATACTAAAATTGAATGAGCTATAAAACTGCATTAAAAAATTTTTTAGAAAATCTGAGAAAAAAGTTTAAAGTTTTGATGAAAATTCGTTCAAGTTTCCTTAATTTTGTAAACAGTTTCAAACTTTGATTTATATGGTTTTGTGTAGATGCTCTACACCACAACCATATTTTTGTAAAAAAAGAATAACAAAAGAATTATAGCTTGCAAAACGCTGTGAATATTAAAAAAAAACAAGGGTGTACGCAGATACAATGGAGTGAGTGAGATTATTTTTATTTTCATGGACGATTTAATATAAAAGAATTTACTCTTAATTTGCAATCTAAAATTAAAACAAAGTAATTTTTTTTTTCTTTCGCGGGACAAAGCATTTGATGCACTAATAATAATTATAATAGTCAACACCAAACAATGATTTACATATACATACAGTAGCGGGCACCGAATGCTGGACGCCAATTAATCGCTTTAAAACTTCGCTGGATCTAAGTAAATATTTTATTGCGTTTTTTTTTTTATAAAATATAGTTCACCCTTCAACAAAACCTATATAAATATATCTGAATTTAAAGCTTCGTGCAAAATTTAAGAAACTTCTGCAAATTCGATAAATTTTTGACATTTAGTACATATTTAGGATAAATTTCGCTATACATTTTTGTAGTTTATCGAATTTTGGTAAATAAAGCAATATGGCGAAGCTAAGATCGTTGATTTCTGGCACTTTTTTTCGTGAAAGCTTTGCTTAATTTCTTCCATATAATATATGTATGCTCGAATTTGTTTTTGTTTGGAACAAAATTAGCAACATATTCAAGGAAAAAATCAAAAAACAATGCTAAATTTTAGCTAATTCAAAATTGCGCTTTTTTACCGAAATTAAATAAACTTCAACACTGCTTTCCCAAATTCATCCTAAAATATGCAATACAAATGTCAGAATTTTAATTAAAATTTACGGTTTCTTAAGTTTTGCACAAAGTTTGCAAGTCTGATCTTTGTGAGTTTCGTTGAAGTATATAAAAATATTCAAAAATTTATTTTCTTATTAGACGCAGCGGAGTTTTAAAACGATTAATCAGTGTGGCCGCTACTCTATGTTTACTGTACATGGTCATCTATAAATATGTTTAACCTTATAGCAAATAAATTTAATTAAAATTGCTGTTACAGGCTCATCAAATACGGTTTTAGTGGGTTAGGTAATGAGTAGTAGCAGTCAATATTCAAACAACCTTTTTTTATGGTTTTACTGAATATGATGATCTAATAAGTTCAATAAGTAAGTGTTTATTTATGTGCTGGAGATCGTTTGTTTGTCAAATATCAAAAGGGGCACAACTCTCAAAAATTTTTGGTAGATTTTTAAAGCATAAATATCAATTCGTAGGATTTTTTTGCAATTAATGCAATTTATTTTTTCTTCATGATTTTATTTTCTAACTAGAAAACTACTGTTAAGCCTGTTTGAAATTTGAATCTTTACTACATCGGCTCTGATTTTTGAGTTGTGCCTATTTTAAAAATGGTGTGCGATATTTATGTACACATATATGTTCTATTGTTTAGAAGTTTAAGCTCTTATATGTATGTATGTATGGATGTAAATTTGTATACGTTCTACTTCAAAATAATTAATGTATCTATGAACCACTGCCTAAGCGCCTGTTGATTGCATACTTTTGATGGAAATTCAAAAAACAATGTAAGATATTGTATAACTAAAACTTAACAGGCTCTCTGAAATGTGCTTCCCCCAAATTATATTTTTACTGACAACCGATTGGTGCCGCTGCACCCCCACAACAACAATACACGCATCCATATGTATGCGTACCCAATATTTTCTATTGGAGCCAACGTAGAACGTCGAAAGTATGTAGAATGTAGAGCTTGCCACAACTAGCAGAGCTAAATGAAAGAAACAAAAGATTAATAGGTGAGCAAAAGAGGTGCATAACAAGCAAACAGACTCACAGACTCGACCATTTCATTGCAATGCAGGAAACTTTCTTTCATTCAGAGCACAACACGTACAACTCTCTACCTGAGTAATGGCTAAACATGGAATATCGGCATGTAGAAGACGGGCCCACATCCGCGGCGTCAAATATAAAGGGAGCGTTGGAGGTAAAGTAAAGATGATGTTGGCGCTGCTTGCTCTTTGTTTGAAATTCAAATAGTGAATATGTTTATCGTTTTGTTGCTCAACTAACTCTACGTTAACTTGAGCTCGTTTGTTTCTGGATGATAATGAATTAAATTTATCATTTAAACGTTTACATTCAACAAATTCGGTTACAGGTGTATGTGCTTTATTAACACTGGCATGATACGACGTCGCTTTATCTTGGTGTTCTTGTACGCCTTGCTTTCCGCTTGCTATTTGTTGGCTATGACACAAATTCAAAAATGTTTCTATTTCCTCCCCCCAATTAAGAGAGAGAGAGAGAGTAAATATTAAAACGAAGAGAAATGCTAATAACAGTAGAGTTGTCAGCTTCAATGAAATATTTGTTTTTAATAAAATTCGGCAAAACTTGCCAAGTCGAAAATTGAAATTTTTGCATATGGGTAATTTTTTAAACGCAAAAACTTCCAAAGTAGGGGAAATTGAGACAGCGAAAATGACAGCTGAAGTTGCACGTTTTTACTGGATTTTTACTGGTAACAATTTGCTAGTACGAAAAACATCTGATCGCATATTGCTGGATGCAATTTAAACTAATAAGGAAACTGTTTATGGGTTTTTATTGTAGAAATTGACAAAATAAACCTATTTAAATATTATATATAATTTAGGGCTGCTCAGGAGCTTGTGGAACTCTTGGAGCTCTTGGAACTAGAAAATGCACACGGTTGCCATGGCGGCAAGCAAAATATGTATTTCCAAATGCAATTCCAAGACCATTTCCACAACATCCTGCACAGCCCTATTGTTTTATTAAGAATTTGCTGCGAATAAACAAGTAATTTATCAGCTGTACATGAAACTTGCAAATTATTGCTGGATTTGCGTTCGCGTACTTTTGTGGATATTTTTTCTATGAGAGCGAATTCTCAGAAATTAAGTTACTGGAGAGTTTTGCTGGCAAGTTACTGGATAATTTGTAAACAAACACAACTATTATTAAACGTGCGATATACATATGTATGTTTAGTTGCGTAGGTTTTAATACAGTCTTTGAAATTATTTTTGTCCCTTCATGCATGCGATCAATTAACTTTACTAAAACCATATGGCAACGTTTTCGCGCCAACAAAGCGGAGGAGAAATTCTCACGTGCGCGAAAGCGAGACGACCGATAAACGGCCGAAACTTTGACATTTGACAAGAACAGACTCACGAAAGAAAAAAGGATAAAATTCACCTAAAACAGAATCCCAAGCTGGGATGGCTGGCAATTTAAAAAAGTACATCTACTAATTAATTAAGCGGTAAAACAAGGAATATTAACTTTAACCATATTCTTTAAGTAGCAAGTGATTAAAGAGGTCGACTTAAAAGCGTTGACAAGACACTAGAGATGTGTAAGACGATAATTTTACTTCGAATAACTTTTTATGACACAAATTCGCTTTCCGGCGTTCAATTAGCGAATGCTAAATCAGCACTATTAACTAAACGTTAAAAAAATCACACCAACACAAATTTGGCAAACGTCCTTGACGTTAAGAAACTTGCAAGCGGTAGCGTGCAGTCGAGATTTGTAAACAAAATTGCGATCGTTACATACAAGCGAAGAGCGAGCGGCCCACGGCACACGGCCCACCGAACTTGCGACCAAACATAATGCACAATTGGTGGGTGGTTGAAGACGGTGCACAGCGCGGCTGGCACTGATAAGTATTATAGTTTTTCCTGCTGCCACTGCCGTAAAATAAAGCAAGCAACAACAAATCCAAACCAACTGCTATTAGTATCACTAAGGTGAATCGGCAACGTGAAAAATGATTTTCTCACCTTTAGTTTCAAATTTTACTTTTTGTGAATAACGTCTAAATGCATAAATCAATGTTCACCAGTTGTATTTGCCAATGCAGTTTTGACTTCGTCGTCACAATCGCAGTGACTGTCATTGCCTTCTTGCTATCCGTTTGCTCCAATTGTCGCAAATTGAGAATATACTCGTTGGACGTTTTCACAAATACTATACTTTATGCTACTTTATATATCCCTTTGAGTGGGAGAAATCCCAATTCACTAGAATGCTGTGCGGCACCTTCTTCTGCTTGCCAGCTACACTCCATACGCTATGCTTAATAAAGCTTCTCCAACCATCAGTTTCCTAAAGAGGCGTTCTAGTGGTATTTGATTTGTGCACAAGGCGTGTGGTGCGATGGAACGAATAATTCAATCCAACAACAAATGTATTGCATGCATGAACCAAATATACACATACACACACTGTGCAACGCACAGCAGATGAGAGCACAGCCAGCTAGTAGCGCCACTGCGGGAGCACCAACAAATCCCCAAAAGCAATGTGTATTGTTGTTGTGAAGTGGTGCTGCCGCCTCTTCTTTCTTCCTTCTACTTCTCTCTTCGTTTCACACTTTGTGCGCTTCTGCTTTGCTATTTGCTTACTACAACAAATTTTTACCACCGCGAGCGAGCACTGCTTTTTGTTTTTGTTCCGTCCCGAGTATTTAGCTTTGATTACGTTTTTCAACCGGTGCTACCAACCTTCCTTTCCAAAAGCAAGAAACAAACTGTCGCTCATCGCCCGTTCACATTCTGGCAGAATTTTCGATTTCACTTTGTGTTCATATTCGGTGATGCAGGGTTGCTTTCTTTTGGTCAAATGAAGACATGATAATGAAGAGATGAAAACAAAAGGTAATTTCAAGGCATATTTAATAGGTTTGTTCGTCGAAGATTCAGCAAGATTATTATCCAACACTCAAAATATCTGAGAGTAACTCAAATTCTCCCTCATGTTGAGAAACTTGCAAATTTCTGCACGAACGCAAATTTGCCGGAATTGGCAAGTTTCCCTGCCAGCTGGTGTCCACGGTTGCATTTCAAACCTAATAAATTTTTAAAATTCTTTCAGTTGGACAAAAACAGGATACACATGTATATTTCTTGTTGTTCTGACTTTCTTTAACATACATTTCAATTTATTTATCGTGCTAGCTGTCGGGTTTCTTAAATCGACTTTAGTGGCAATTGCATTCCGATTGCGCATACAATTATTTTCAGCCGAGTAAAGTTCAAATCATTGGAAATAACTAAATTAATTATATCAATAAGTACTTACAGGCTAACCTAATATTCACGCACGCCGCCAATTTATTGTCAAAAATTTCTCATGCACATGCAACTTGTATGAGATCAACCGAAATTGAACGGCGTGCGTATGAAGCTAACTCAATTTCCAATTTTTGTTCTGCGTGACATTTTGATTTGACGTTTCGCTCAATGAAATCAAATGCAAACGCATGCAAGTCAATTTCGGGTGACGCAAAAAAACAAATTCGACGGCATGCGTACCAAAACGCAAGCCGTGAATATTAGGTTAGCCTGTTACATCCTTTTTTCATAAAAAAATCGTTCGTGTTTATAAATTTTTAAATTTAACGAACTTATTTATTCAAATTATCGTAGACAAAAATGCAACCATGTGCCACAATCATATGTTTTTCGTGATTGCGAATTCTGCTGGCTAAAATTTTTCCAGAAAGATTTTGCACTCTCTCTCTAGGAGAACTGTCACTTTGCGCTCTCAGTTGTTGAGTGATGGATAATTTTTTGGTCTGCACGAATGCGATTTGGGCATAAATCGTGATAATTCGTACAAATTTTTTGTTCGACGAACAGAACTAATATGCCTTGGGTAATTTCAATTGTGCAATCAATTGACAGCTATAAAACTGATGCGTTCGTTTTAAAATTTAGTTAGTGGGAAACGTGTTCCGAATATGTTTTAAGTCTGCTTTTTAGTTGTTGCGTCGTAAAAGATTTATTTTGAAATCTCCAAACGCTCAACACGGATATCCGAATAGTCCTAGCCATGATAAAAAAAAATAGGAAGGTAGATCCGCTGAGAGGAATTTTTCAAATTCTTGACGTTTGCAAGCAATTTAATTTTAAAATTTTACACACAAACTTACACACACATTCTCATTTTCAATCTCAAACAACAACAACTTTGAACAATTCTTTTTTTAATCTCAATTTTATATGATTTTAAAATGTTGGTAAACTTTAAAAAAAAATCATGGCCGACGAATTGAGTGAACGGCTTTACCTTACTATATAGTACATATGTTTTAATCACAGTCCTAGCCCTACTTAACACCAATTTTAAAAATGTTCAGCACTTACATATCGAGCCCTAACCGCCAAAATAACGTAAGCGAAATTTTTTTTCAAAATTTTCTTTTATGCAGAAATATTCCTACATCATCTAAATTCATTTCTGCATCAAAAAGAAAATTTTGAAAAATAAAATGTCGCTTACTTTATTTTGGCGGTTAGGGCTCGATATGTATGTACATATGTACATAAATTAACTATATTTAGAAAATAATTACAAATAATTTTTTTTTACATATTAATTTTAATACATTTCATGCAATATGTTGTAAGATTCCTTGACGCACTAATGTTTCCACTTGGGCTCGCGGCAAATAGTGCTGACTATTCTTCTTCAAATAAATCACTTCGCCATCTTCCAATTCAAACTTACCGTAATCTTCAACACAGCGCACTTCTATATAGAGTGATTTAGGTGGCCGCAGGTCACCTGTCAAATCTATGCCCTGTCCATCCCCAATGGACCGCATGTAGGAAGCCAGCGACTTTGAGTATGTGTTAAAGAAGTTAACTTCCGGTTCGCATAGTGAAGCTTTAATGTCTGCTGGGATAATTGGACCGAATTCCCAACGAAGGGCTTTTATACGGAGCAAACGTTGGTACAAATATGTTAGTAGGCAACGCTTGTTTCTTTGTAGTGCAGCATGTCGAAAGTTGAGCAGTGGCCACAGCGTGCGATCGCCGGAGGTTGAGTAGTTGGCGCTAAGTTAAAAGTTGTATGAGAAATTAATAGATTTGAGTTATTGTATCTTAGTACTTACGCTTGTGCACAGTTTTCCTCGAAAATTGCTTTGATTTCTTCTAAGACTTGCCGAACACCGTCGTCCTGAGAAACACATGCGTTTGAATTGGAAAATTAGTAATTTGTTTGTACATAGCACTTACGTCGAAAGGTGGGATGGTCTGTGATGAACGTTCCAACTCCTTAATTAGCTCAAAGGCTTTATCGGCAAACATTTTATTTGATTTTGCCATTTTTATGAAATATTTACGTTCAATTCGTCTTTTGTAAAACCGCTGAGCAATCAGCCGCATTTTTGGGTAATTGTTTACGTTTCGCTTTTGCTTTTACTCCTTATTCGCTGACAATTGTCGCAGTGTTGTATAATTTAAAAAAAAAAAAATCATAAAAGAATTGTCGGACTGTCAAAATCAGCTGACTGGGGATTTTTTGGCGGCAATAAAATTTACGAAAAGTGAAGTTGAAGCAAAGTCGCAGAAAATATACATAAGTAAAACATTACGAAGTGGTCGAATCATCGCTAGAAATGCCGGAGTATACAATCTCGGGGATAACAGTGCATTTCCCTTTCGAACCCTACGATGTACAGACAGCGTATATGGAAAAGGTAATTACTTGCTTGCGCGATGGCACAAATGGAGTATTGGAATCCCCAACAGGGACAGGTAAAACGTTGAGCCTTTTATGTGCATCTCTGGCTTGGCTGCTATCACGTAAATCCGAAATGCAATCATTAGTGCAACTCCACGCAAGAGGTGGCGCTGCAGCTCAGCAAGCAGTGAACGAATTCAATGCAATGCAGGCGAGAAACGCTAACTGGGGCGTTCCAAAAATTATATACGCCTCCCGTACGCATTCTCAATTAACACAAGCAATGCAGGAGTTGAAGCGTACCTCGTACTCGTTTATGCGCGCTGTGGTGTTGGGCTCACGGGATCAACTGTGCATTCACCCAGAAGTTATGCGCGAACAAGGCAATTCCAACAAGGTGCAACTTTGTAAATTGCGCATACAGACGCGAACTTGCACATTCTATAATCGCGTCGAGTCAAAGAAAGACAGTGCTGAATTAAAAGAATCGTCCGTAATGGATATAGAAGATTTGGTGCGAGTGGGGCAAAAACTCAAAGTATGCCCATATTATGTATCCAAAGAGTTGACCAGCGATGCGGATATCACGTTTATGCCGTATAACTATTTATTAGACCCTAAAGCACGTAAAGCTAATAAAGTGGAGTTGAGCAATACAATTGTTATATTGGATGAGGCACACAATATTGAAAAAATTTGCGAAGAATCGGCATCAGTGCAAATACGCTCATCGGACATAGCGTTGGCAATCGACGATGTGACGCACGTGATGAAATCAATGATGAATGAAAATGCATTGGATTTTATGAGCAGTGATGAACCAAAAGATTTTAAATTGGAGGACTTAGCATTACTTAAGGAAATGTTGTTGGATCTGGAGAAGGAGATTGATAATATTATTGTTGAAAACAAAGCAGAAGGAACAACATACCCCCCTTCGTTCCTGTTTGAGATATTGGCAGCGGCGAAAGTAAGTGCTATATATCAGTATCCTATAAATATTTATTGATAAACAAAAATCGAATGCTTGTTTTTACAGATAACACCAGTTATAGCGCCAGCCACCATAAGTTTACTCGAAAGACTCGTTCAATACATGACTGTTCAGTCACAAGGTAGTGCCTTCCGTAAAGGTGGTTCTTTTGAAATGATTTCTAATTTACTAAGTGTTGTATTCATCAAGAAGGATGATCTTATAGCGAAAGTCCACAAAAGTTTTAAAGTTCATGTACAAATTGAAGAAATTAAACAGCAGCATAAAGGTTCTAATAAGGATGGTTGGCTATCAAAGGCGCCTAGTACTAGTACGGTTTCGTCGAAATTACCCAAAGTTATTAACTATTGGTGCTTTAATCCTGGTTTCGGGTATGTTAAATAATAAAAAATCCATATACATATATTGTATAATATATTATACAATAATTATAATAATATTTATATGTTATTGTATATTATAATATCATGATAAACATATTTTTATAATGTTGTATATGTATAAATAGCAATAAAAAGCTTAAAACATAAAATTTCTTTTGCTTTGTAGCATGGAACAACTATTGAATACACAAGTACGCAGCATAATTTTGACAAGTGGCACCCTTGCACCGTTGAAACCATTAATAGCTGAACTAGCGGTACCAATTGCACAAAGCCTCGAAAATCCACACATTGTTAGTCAGTCGCAAGTTTTTGTCAGAATCATTGGTACTGGACCTGACCGCGAGCAGCTCATATCGAACTTTGCAAATCGGTAAGAAAAATTCAATGTCAGAAGAAAGAATTTTGCTAAGCTCGACACTGACTATTTTAGTGACAATCCTAAGTATCTGAGCTCATTGGGCCAAACAGTACTCAATGTGTCACGCATAGTGCCGGATGGTTTGCTCGTTTTCTTCCCTTCCTACCCTTTGCTCAACCAGTGCGTAGACGCTTGGCAGGCCAGCGGTCTTTGGGCTGAGGTGAGTAGGCATAAACCAATTTATGTAGAACCACGAAACAAGGAGAGCTTTACTACGTCTATGGAGGAGTTCTACAAAAGCATACGTGATGCAAAGGGCGCTTGTTTCATGGCAGTATGCCGTGGAAAAGTATCCGAGGGTCTCGATTTTGCAGATCGCAATGGCCGTGCAGTTATCATAACGGGGCTTCCATTTCCACCACTCAAAGATCCAAAAGTGATTTTAAAGAAACGCTATTTGGAAGATAATCGCACGAAAGAGAACGAAGTACGCCTACTTTTTAATATGATATGCGTTCTCTAATAACATAATTTGTAATAGCTATTATCAGGCCAAGCATGGTACAGCTTAGAGGCTACTCGTGCTGTGAATCAGGCAATTGGACGTGTCATTCGTCATCGGCACGATTATGGCGCCATTCTGTTGTGTGATGTACGTTTTGAGCAGCCTAGTCAGGTGTCCCAATTATCGAAATGGGTTCGCGGTTATTTAGGCGCCTCTCCCAGAAGCGTGCCCTTCGGTTCGATTGTGCGAGAATTGCGCGAATTCTTCCGGAATGCTGATAAAACTGTAAGTTATTATAACTTTATATAAAAAAAATATATATATATATTTTTGTGAAATATTATTTTTAATTTGATAGTTACCCAAACCAAAAGAGCGTAGCATAGAGACGCTTGTGAGCGAAACATGTGAAGAAGCTGGCATCGTGCAGAGTCGGTACTTCTCAGACCCTAAATTAGTGCTTAGTAAATTTGCCACAGCGCAGTCAATGGCAATGTAAGTCACATTTAATTATAAGTATTTTTTTTTTAACAAATTATCATTCTAAGAATAAAAAAAAATATACAACCAATAGGAAGGTCGAGAAAACCAATTCGATTGAAGGCTGGACCCCAGATGACTACAAAACAGCCGCAGGCCGCTCACAAAGTAGTAAAGTACCGAGCGCAATGGATTTCATGAGTCGACTGGACACCAACGTAAAGGTGAAGTAACACAACTGCAACCGTCATCATTGTTCTTACACTGGCGCTTTTTTCACAAATTTCTCGCAGGCTATAGATTTCAATAGTACCAACTGCAGCAAAGCCTCGAGCAGTGGTCAGGTTAGCATATTCAAGCGTGAGCGAAACTCACCTACTACAAGCCCCAGCAGTAGTTCAAGCGCCCTCGCCGCCAATAACAAGCGAAAACGCTATAAATTGGTTACGGGTACCAC